GGGCTAAAGGTCTGGGGGTATATTTTTGAAAACCCCTGTCATTTGGCTATATCTCGGGACCCGTTGATGGTAGCTGGCCACAAATTTGGTTACAAACACTACTTTTGCTAATAGGTGTCGTTAGTAATGGGTTTGTAAGTTATATGTAAGTTACGCGTAAGTTACAGTGTAAGTTACGTAACTTGCAAGGGCTTACATCTCTAATAAGCACTAATTGATTGTATATTATAATATGAGTTGTTATAAAACAAATACATTAGTTGATTTACTTTTTCCATTCAATTTAATTATCATTTGATTTTAACATAATTGATAACATATAATTTTATAATTTTGTAAACACCTAATTAAATAACTTTTCAATTTGTGGTCATAGTTTGTGCAATTGACTCGTTTATTAAAATATTTGTTTTAAAATTACATCAAAAATACACAGTATTTAAAAAGCATTGATAGCGAGGGCTGGTTTGGAAATCCTATTGTCTTTGGAGGACTTCATCATACGTTTGATTACTCGCGACCTCTTCTTATTAGACATCTTTCGTCGGCGTCTGGTCTGAGATGTGGTCGGAGAGCAGCCTATTCTCACCAGTTTGTAAGGATTAGGTCCCTGTCCACTGCCACGTACCTCAGCATTGCAGTTGATTTGACGCTATTATACACAAACAAATTCATTAATTTAATGAAAAACATTTTCAAAGTTATAAAAATCAATTTAACAATTTATTTACTAATATTTCACTATAAGAGTATTTATATTCCGTTAATAAATCTTATAATTAGTTATATTAACTAAATTTAATAGTTATATAACTTTGTATAACTTAATACCTACAGTTAGTTATGAGATAAGCACTTACTTCACAGCCACTGGGATCACGACACCCGAACAGATTGAAATAAGCCAGGATCACTCGGATTTGAATATCTATATCGCTACCAGTGATGGTGTTTGCGTCCCAAATGGTGTCCACCACGTACTCAATCTCAGAGTTACTCATAGCGGTGGCCACGAAGTTGGCACAGGTTGTCACCCGAGGGTCCTCCAAGTCTATTGGTGTCTCCTTATACTGACCATTAATGCCATACACCAGACATACGATTAACACACAAATCGGTAGGAGTTTTGTCGACATATTATGTGGTTTTACTATGACTTAAATATCACTTGACGTTTGGTTTGAAAGTTGTTTTGAGTAAAAATAGTTTTTGGGACTTTGAATACGTTATAAAAATATATTTTGTTTGGTATTGAAATGTTTTTTATTTTTGTTAAAACTATTTTTAGTCAAGTTTTATATTTTGATTGGCAATCACTCGGCCTTTAAATAATTTTAGCAAAACTTTTATTATTATTAGTAATGATGTGATGAACACTATTTTGGATCTTATTTCACAAAAAAAAATTGTTGTTTTGTTTTCAAAAAATATTTTACAACTTTTCACAACTCTTTAAATACAGATTTTGAAAGCTTTTTGTTAGCATTAAATGAATTTTATAGACGGCTTTAGAAATGTTTTTTTTGT